TGTTTTCTCCATGGTCTGAATAAAATGTGTGTGTGTGTGGTGTGCGTTGCATGTGTTGAGGGGGAGAAAAGGGAGAAATTAAGAGAGAGAGGAAAAAGGAGAAATTAAGAGAGAGAGGAATACTTTGAGGGGGAGAAAAGAAGAAAATCAGAAAAAGAGTGTGTGTGTGATAAGAGAGAGAGAGGAATACTTTGAGGGGGAGAAAAGAAGAAAATCAGAAAAAGAGTGTGTGTGTGTGTGTGAAAAAATTTGAGGGGGAGTTTTTTTTCTGTACATAAATAAACCTTTGGGGCCCAAAAATTAATTTTTAAAAAACCACCGGGCCCAGCTCAAACATTCAGGCCCAGAACTCTTTTCGCAAGGCTTAAAACCCAGAGTTTTCTCGCATTTATAAGGGACTTCGAGAACCCAAAATCACATCTTCGCACTCTTAGTTCTCGAAGTCCAGAGCAAAAAGTTTTCGCAATCTTCTTGACTCCATTCTTCTTTGAACTCTTCTCGAATCAATCAAGAGGTAGTAATGTGGCTTTTGAATATACTTCAAAATGTTTTCGCAAACAAGTGAAAGTTCTCGAATCCAAACTTGAAAGAAATTTCTCGAATTAGAAAATCGAGAACTTTGTTTTTCTCAAACCCGGAAACTTGAATACGAAAAGTTTTAAATATGGATATTATCATTATGTATTGTGTGTTCTTGCAGGCGGTTCTCGACATCTATCTGAGTGAAAACTCGAAGAATCCAATTTCTCGATGATTAGAATCCGAGATTAACTTCTCGATATTTCAAAACTCGAAGTTCGGTTCTCGATATTAAACCTCGAAAAGGTCTTTTCGATGTTTAATACCGAGAACCTATTTCTCGAAGTTTGAAATACCGAGAAGAGGTTCTCGATATTCAACATCGAGAAAGGGTTCTCGCAGCTTAAGTCTCGAGAAGGACTTTTCGATACTTTCATCTCGAGAACCAAGTTCTCGATATTTGAGTATCGAGAAGAGCTTCTCGGTATTTAAACATCGAGAACCTACTTCTCGATACTCAAACCTCGAGAAGCTGGTTCTCGTGGTTTACACTTAGAATAATTTCGATATCCCACCTGTACACACCTGATCTGAAAAATTGCAAAAACAGAACAAAAATAAAATTTTCAAACGAACAATTGTGCTGACCTGTTTCTTTCAGTCACTCATGTCAGGAACGGACAGAACTGCACAATCAGGCAATGAACTGTATCCTAAAGAGAACTGGGTCCCACTATATGACAACAACTTTCAATTGGACCTGAAGCTCTTCAAATGTCAGGACCCAGTCATTCTCTCCATCCTACAGAAGCACTACCTTTGGACTGCTTTCAACGAAGCCAAACCAGTACCAATGGTGTATCTACAACAGTTCTGGGGCCTGATGCACACAGCCTCAGAGAAGGACAGGTCGAAGATAATGACCAAACTGAATGACGTGCGGGTGGTGCTAACACCATCAACAATCAGGGAGACACTGAAGCTCCCAGTGCTCAAACACTACGCACCACTCCCCTCAAACGAAGAGCTGATCAAGGGGATGAAAGATCTTGGATACGACAGCCCACTGCCCCTGCTGTCAAACTTTACAATCTCCAACCTGCCTCACCCGTGGAAGAGTCTGTTCGGCCTGGTCAATAAGTGTCTATCTCCTAAGCACGCCGGACATGACAAGTGCAACAAGCAAATACTTCAAATCTTCCACGGGATCGCCTTTAACAAGCAGTACGATATGGCTCAGCTTTTCTGGACGGAGCTGATGGATCAAGTAAAGATGAAGGAGAATCATAAGGGCAACACAATTCCTTACGCTCGGTGGCTGGCGCTGATGATCCACAACATGTTGGAAGCCACCCCGACAATGCCAAAGCGTAAGGAGGACAAGCATTTCACTGCGCCCAAGCTCAAGTACTTTCAGAGAGACAGCAATAAGGCTGAAGCACTGCCTATCCCGGACTCCTTGCTTAATCTTGCAAACCCGAGGGATAAGGCAGTCGTCGACTACAAAGAGTCGCTGAAAAGAACGGTTCCCATGGTTCAGCAAAACCCAGCTGGACCTTCCCGGGGAACTAAGCCGAGAGCAAGTGAGGGTAAGAAGAAGAGAGCCCCGCCACAGAAACCAGTGGCAACCCGGCCTAATGATGATCAGTCTGCTAACTCTTCCGAGAGGACCCAGACTGCTGAGGGCCACCCTAATGCTGAGGACACTGCCGATGAACCATCAAGCCAGGCCCCTTCTAATAAGGCTGGTGGTGAGGCCTCCGATAGCATGGCCAAGGGAAAGGAGAATAATGATGATGATGATGATGCAGATGATGATGATGATGACATGGAGGGAGTTCTGATCAGCAACAGGAAAAGAGCCGGAAAGAGAGCCATTCCGATAGACTCCGACTCCTCATCGGACAATGAAGAGGCTGCTCACATGTCCCGACCACTTAAGGGCATTGTCATCAATGAGCAGCGCTCCAAACACAACAGCGACAAATCTGCATCATCACAGCCTAAGAAGAGGCTAAGAAAGAAGAGTGCAGTGGAGGAGGAGCTGGCACTATACGATGACTGCGACACCTTTGTCACCATAGACCGAACCACGCCCCTAGGAGCAGGAGCTGACCCTGTCAGTTCCCGGGTAGAAGTCGCAGCATCTGGTTCAACTGCGCATGCACATCCATCTCCCATCCACTCTCCAGCCTCTCAACAGGCTGGAGTTTCAATAACTCAAGGGGAATTCATACCGACCTCACTGGTTCCTTCCGAATCAGTTGAGAGACTTAGTGGTCAACAGCCCCGGACCACTACCCCCATTCGTTCTATCACATCGAGTCTAGGTGTCACCATTCCTACATTTTTGAATTTTTCTAGGACACCTACACTATTCACTGCACATACAGGTGCACTCACCCTGAATGCAACGACCGGAGTGCAAACTATGATGGTCGGAAGCCCTGCTACGCCAACAATGCCTCAATCATTGAACGCAGGCCACACATCAGCTATCTTCACTGATGCTGTGACAACAGTTACAACCCCTGTAACTGGTGCCATTATCCCCGAAGACATCCTCGTATATCTGAACAGCTTTCTAGAGTCTACCATTAAGCCATGGGTGCATGAAGCAATAACCGCTAATGCACAAGACTCTGGAAGTTCCCCAGTTGTTCAGAATATACCATCCAAACCCCAGACAACACAGCCCCCAACCATTTCCATACCTGTTTCCAAACCCTTAGCCATAGAAAACCAACAGCCATCCACATCAAGGGGAACCCAGGATACAGAACTAGTATTCTCCCCTACAACGACCAAACCCAACCTAACAACTGTACCCTTCGAGGATCTTGTAGCTGAGATCTACGACCGTATACTAGACGTGGAAGAAGGCAACCTCACCCCTCTTCAAAAAGCCCTTCTCCATGCTCTAGATACACAGAACACATGCCGTGACAGTCTCCGTGGCGCTAAACGTTCACATGAGGATCCTGATGATTCGGATTCTCATGAGGGGGAGAACAAGCGCCCGCGGATACTTGAGCATGTTGCTTCTACTAGCCAACCCTCAAAGCCAAATCAACCCTCCACTTCTACCAATGAGCAACCCACTACTTCAGCCAGCCATAAATCCCTAGCCACTCTCTCTAGCATGGTCGAGCTAGACATAACATCCCGAGGTGCATCTCCTATAGATGTTAACCAAGGACGGAATGGAAGTCCTGATGATGCTACCATGAGTACATCTTCTTACTCGGGCCATCAGTTAGAACCTAGTTCGAAACTGATGTCAACGGGCAATCCTGAGGATCCCGGTGGTTCACACGACGAGTCACCTTCGACACAGCAGCAAGCTCCCTCTGAACCCTCTGACAATCCAATACAAGATGAGCTTGAAGATCTTCTAGTTCATGACCAATGGCCTCCTAAATGGACAGAGTGGGATGACCTTAGAGTGGAAGCCGATCAGTACGAAATGTGTCGAAGCTGGCATCTCAGAGAGTTCCTCAATAAATACCATGCAATGATGATTGGACTCGATAAAGACGAACTCAAGGAAGGGGAGAATCAAAAAGAAAACCTCAAGGAACCAGAACCAGCTAAAGAAAAATGGGAAATCATAAGGATCAAAGCCCCCTTTCTTGAAGAAATTCGAGAGAAGATTTGGAGACAACCAGAAAAAGTCAAGCAGTTCAGTGAACTAAAAATGCGAGGAATCAATCACTTGAAAGGAAAATATAGAGGAGGAAATCTGTATATGCTAGGACATAGATCCACAGGGCAACGTTGACAAGTTCTAAATCACAACCTTGCAACAAGTGGATGTCCCATATTGAAAATCTTGGAGATCACAGAAGATTACCTGGAGACAATTAAGTTCATGATTTTTCGTCTACAACGTACTGATGGCTCGGAGTTCACCTGTCAAGAGAATGACTTCTTTCTACTGCACATGGATGACATTTATCAAATGTTCATGAGGTGCAGGGAGCTTCCAGTTCACAAAGACAGACTCGCTAAAGAAGGCTTCGAGGCGATAAAAAGATTCATGACAAGACAAGTTCGGTTCTACGCCTCTCATGACCTCCAGATGACCATAGAGCACAACTATTCAAAGGTGAATCTTACTAGACCGGACTTGAGTAGACCTGGCCTTGAATCATTTGAAGCATATCATATCTTTGACAATCCAGTATCAGTCATCTATCTGAATCATAACAACGAAAAACGTCTAATGTTCGTGGATGAAATTATCAAGTATTGTGACGGAACGTTGAAGATCATCCAGGAGCAGCTCCGATCAAAGAAACAAGAACTTGGACAGAAATCGACTGAAGCCACTGAAGGAGACCAGAAGGAACTGCACAGAATTAACAATATTCTACAAGCCATTGAAAAACAACTTGATAAAAGAAACTCACTCAGAAACTATGAGCACGCACTTAATCTCAGAAAGAACTATTACAAAGCTCAGAAGTGAAGAAACCCAGCAAGACGGCACTTGACCACAAAGGGGGAGATTGTTAGAACTTTTATTGTGGGTCAAGTTTGTCTGTAATGTCTTGTTTAAATAAAGTAGACTAGTTATACTATTTATGGTATTAGATTAGTATTTATTATGTAGCAAATAAGGTAAAGGGAATAAGGCCCAAAAAGGCCTTGGCCCAACTTCCAAGGTTTACCTAAATCGGTAACCTGTACAGCGCCTATAAATATGCGCCTTGTGTACAGGTACCGATATCGATCAATACACATTAGCCTTACGCTGCCAAATTTACTTCTCGATAAAACAGAAAGAAGAATTTCCTTGTTCTCGATATTGCCTTATCATTATCAGATCTTCTCTCTTTCTGTGTGTCGATGAAATCCATCTAGCTGCGTGTTAGTCTGCATAATCTGGGACCAACAGTTCTTATCCGAGAGGTGATTTCCTGGTGAGCAGGGCGGTTTGTGGGGTGTTCTGGTTTCAGGATTTTCCCGTCCAGTGAAGGTATTCCCTTTTGATTTGCTCCGGCTACTTAAGCCCACCGGCCGTCGGTTCAGAAAACTCTAGAAGACCGGGCAGCCAATTCGTTCTGGTGGCCAGAGATCTTGGAGCGAGCAGACACTTCCCCGGCGAAGGTTTGGCCGGACGGGTGGCCCGAGTAACTACGGTTCAAGCCGGACAGGGCCGCGAGGTGCTGGTCGGTGTTCTACCGCTGACCGGCAAGTAATCAACGGCACCCGCCTGATGGCTGAGCGGTACTTGAACTGGGGTGGCAGCTTCATGACATCCATTGCTGATAAGACCTTGGGAGTCCGTTGTTGGTCTGCGGCCGAGTGGTGGGCTGCCGTTCGGGAGATAATCCATCTGGTGTTTTTGTCAAAATTGTATTTTCTCACTCCTGCCAGAAATAATTTCGGAAGCAAAGACTCCGAGACCAGCCATTCGATGCCCGACCAGTCCGCCTGGTCTATGTATTGCATTTGAAGATTGGAAAGTCATTACTTTTGCCCGATCGGGCAGGGATAAATGTTTGCATCGTTGATGTTTGGCCTGATCAGCCCCTTTGGAGGACGTTCGGGGAAATCTCGTTCGGACATCTGCTGTTTCAAAACGGTTATTCTTTCCTGCTGATGGTGTGGGGCCTTGAGACCTCCCATTCCAGGCTCGGGATCCTCCATGCATGAAGGTGAACTGATGGCCTCCTGGGGCTCCCTCGTTCGGGGGTTCGAGGATCTCTCGTTCGGGAGTCGGCGTTTAATTTTGGATAAGGGTGACTACATCACATCACCCACTTGTGTTTTGTTGTCAGGCCTTCCACGTGAGGATAGAATGATATAGCTATGTATTCCTCTTTGTGTCAAGCTAGTGGGTGCATGGGCCCCACTTCACATTTTCTTTAGTTCTTTGCACTTAAGTCAACCTTTTTTGGCCTCCTGCTTCGGCCTTATCAATTACTTCCGGAGTGTGGCAGGAGTGATTTGAACAACGACCACACACCGCTGGATTGGATCTGAAATTTCTTCTCTATTTTCTCCTTCGTTTCCTGCTGAAATTAGTAGCTCTTGGTATCAAAAAATTTGCAGACTCATACCAGAAAATTTGCCGAGCATCAAGAACACATGAATCTTTCTGAAGCGTTTCCCACAGACGGCGCCAATGTTGAGGTTTTGTCCCGCAGATCCGAAAGCCCAACATAAACTTCGGATATTAAGGACGATGGATTCAGTATAAACATAAATAAAATATATATAAGGTGTATGAACTAGCTATTTTTACGTGGAAACCCGGAAAGGGAGAAAACCACGGGACTTTTTAGGCTAACGTCCAAGCCCGCTCTTTTTCATTAATATGCTCTCCTCACCAATTACATATTACAACTCTTGAACTCCATTCATGGAGGTATAAAGCTATCTATCAAAGGGGAAGAAGAAGTATGGAGGAGGAGAGCCAAAAGATCCGATCTTCTCAAATGGGAACCCTCCTCCCTATTTATAGGAAATATGGGAGGGTTTCCGATGGGCCAACGGGCCTAATGGGCCGAGAAGGCATTAATGGGCCGAAGCAGGTCTAAATGGGCCTCGCTAATTGGGCTCCGTATCGGGGTGATGTTTCGGGCCTCAGAATAGTAGTAGGCCGGGATATTATTACCCAACAGGTGGATTTGGCAAAAAATTGCTGTAATAGTCACACCATCCCCTACACCATTAATCGAGAATGTCATCTTAATGACATTTTTTAAAAAAAGAATGTGAAATTTGTAAAGAGTAAGAATGCCATTTTTATGGCATTTTCAAAAAATAAATGACAATTGTAACAACAACTACACCATGCCAGTTTGATTTCACCGTACAATCATGGAGCAATTTCAGAACTCAAACATGAGGAAGAAGAAGAAAAAACTAAGGGAAAAGGTGCAAATAGGCCCATGTACTAACCAAAAAAAGTCAAATAAGCCCTTATTTAGGAGGCTCTGTCCGGTCCTCGCTATTTGGGGTGGTTCCCGGTGGAATTTTTTGATGAAAGTTTTTGAGCATCTTATTCATCAAGTCTAGTTTACTCATACCAAATTTCAGCTAAAACTTCAATCGGGGAGGCATTCAAATGAATTCTTGAAAATAACTGCGCAGTTAGAAGCGCAGTTATCTTCAAGAATTCATTTAAATGCCTTCTCGATTGAAGTTTTAGCTGAAATTTGGTATGAGTGAACTAGACTTGATGAATAAGATGCTCAAAAACTTTCATCAAAAAAATCCACCGGGAACCACCCCAAATGGCGAGGACCGGACAGAGCCTCCTAAATAAGGGCTTATTCGACCTTTTTTGGTTAGTACATGGGCCTATTTGCACCTTTTCCCAAAAACTAATAAATGCTCAAACAAATTCGTATAAACCAAAAGAACAAGCAAAGAGACAACATGGATGCAAAGAAGAGGGAAGAAGACCCAGAGCTTGGCACCACAACAACCGCACCAGATTCATATGAAAAATTGAAATCAGAGGAGTGCGAGGAAGAGAGACCTCTCACCGCTGCTCGCTGCTTCTCGCCGACGCTACTCGCCGCTGCTCAGCAGCGCTACTCGTCGGCTCTCACTTCTCGCTGCCCCCGGCGTTGAAGCACTGCGATGCGCAAAGATGCGAACCAGATGAGCGCGATTGCGTGACTGGCTATTTTGGGAATGAATGATTGAGACAAATTATTTAGTGGGATTATAGGTAGAGTAATCCAGAATTAAAATTTGAACTAGTTAATCCGTAATTAAAATATGAACTGAACGACTTGATGAAGCAGAAGAGGTGACAAATGATCTTATGAGACTAGACGATTAAACAAATGGTTTAGTCATGCCTTCTTGCTTCCTTACTTGTTCTTAGATCGGTACCAATGGCCTGACTTAAGATAGAGCAAGCTTTAGAGCATCTCCAGTAGAGATGTGAATTACACCCGTTAAAAAATGGACACCTAATCTAAATGCACAGCCCGTGAGGTTGATGTGTAGGCATAAACTATCAAAATTACATGTATTCTCCAACGGAGTCCATCTCAAAATAATATGTCATCTCCAACCACCACTTGATGTGTATGCATAATCTAATCTGCATTTTTATACGGCCCGTGTGATGCCAACTTACGGTAATGCTGACCTGGCTGTGAGACGGGCCTTCTCAAAGTAGACAGTGAGGCGGACGATGTCTCGTTTTATTCCCTTCCAGCTCAGCACCACATTGAATATGCATTTTTCCATTGGAGGGGATAATTGTATCCCATTATGATGTGGCAATGCATTTAATAGCAATCCATTATGCCATTAAAGATGCTCTTAGTCATGCGGCAAGCTCCAATGCTGCAAATAATAGTGTAATTTAATTAAATTAATATAACAAAACATTTTAATACTATATTCAATTAAATATAAGAGATTCATATCATATATATTAGAGATATTAACCAAAATGGGACTAAAAAAGTTTGAAAATTCTAAAATAGGACTTCCATGTTTTTATTCCCAAAATAGGACTAATTACTGCCATGTTTTGGCAGTACCAGACTTCAAACATGACAGTATTTTCCAAATTTGGCAGTAATTAGTCCTATTTTGGGAATAAAAACATGACAGTCCTATTTTGGAATTTTCGAACTTTTTTAGTCCCATTTCGGGAACTTTCCCTATATATTACCATGCAGAACTTCCTTTAATTCCAGCTTGATGCAAAGCTCGTGTAGCTTTTCATAGTCAGGAATGGGATATTCTCTACAAAAACAAAACTCAAAATAAATGTACAATGTTACAATCTACCTATACTATGCATACAAGATTCAAAACAAATGGAACCCAATTAAATAAAAAATTTATACATACATATATGTGTGATTATGAAATTTATTTTGTGAAGTTGGCGGATTTTGGTGACAGGACATAAAGGTTTTCTCAAGGGCGCTTGCATAGATGATAACGGTTCGGGTTTGACACTGATCTATTCCTAATTTGTGTTGATTAGTTTTTCTTCGGAAATAGATTATCTAATATCAGTTTCAAGCTATCTACATATAATGAAGGACTATAGGTCCAATTTTCAAACCATTATGACAATTAACTCAATTATAAACCATGGGTATGGATCAAATAAAAAGTGCTTTCTAGGTGAAAAATAAGAACTAATTTTGGCCATTGATATGAAAAAATGGATGGAAGAGATCAAATTTTAAGTGAAAAACGCGGTGGCATTTTGGTAATTATGAAAAACTTTTAATAAAAAATTATATGAAATCTGTACCAACATATGCAAAAAGTGCACATGCAGAGTGCAAAAGTGCATAACAATACATCATAAAATATGCACAAATTTTTAAAAAATGGCAATCTTTTTTAACTCTTATGAGTGCACTTTTATTCATTTAATATCCACTTTGTACTATAAACGTTTGAACATTATTTGAGTCTGTATCTTGTGATTAAAGTTCATTTAGTCCAACTGATGGACAGTGTACCCGGGGGGTAGCTTATCCGGGGGGTTATTATGAGTATAACCTAGAGAGAAGTCAGAACAAACAAGTAGGAGAGAGAGGCGACTGTATTAAAGAACTCGAGATGTTCTGGTGTGGGATCCTTTACAATGGGGAAATGGGCTGCTATTTATAGTAGTAATAAATGCGATGAGAGTACACGTGGCGATGATCTAACGGCCGAGGAGTCACCTCAATCGGGTGGCACTGACATTGGCATGTGCACCGCATTGAATGCGGTGGGTGGATGTGACGTTGCATTAAATGCGGTGGTTGCTTGTCTCCAAAGGGAATCTTTTCGATGATTGAGTTGTTGGCCGAGGGCTTCCCCTGCGGCCGAGGGCCTGTGTAACCGAAGGCATGGGAGTGCCGAAGGCTTCCCTGATGCCGAGGGCACCATGTGTTTGGCCGAAGGCTACTGGTAGCCGAGGGCTACTGTTTTACGCCGTTTTCTCCTAGTAGCTTCGTATGCTCAAATCTGACTGTCCTGTGTATTTCGGAGCCTTCGGCCAATGAGGCCGAAGGCACCCAGTATGTATTTTGGGCTTCTTTGAGGCTTTGGCCGCTGCATTTGGGCCTTGAATGCTCCTTAGGCCCAATGGGCCTGTGTAGGAGAGGTAGGAGTCTATGGGCCGGGTGGGCCATATACCCCATCACCAACCATTCACATTGTGTCACTAAATTTTTTGGTACTTGTTTGAAATATAATAATACAATGTTTAAATTTGAAGTGCAATTCATGTTCTATTCCATCCTTCAGCACAATTTTGTTCAATAATTTGTTTTACATATCAAACATTTATCATATTGCACTACAAAAAATCAAAGGGTTGAATACTCATTTATCAAGAACTAGTACAATTTTATGTCAAGTGATTATGCTGTTTTTTCATTTTAAAACCGCTTTTGCATAAATTTTGAATCGAGTTTGACAAAGATTTTTTTAATCCATGCAAAATTCTTGACAAAATTAAACCCTATTGATCAACAATTGAACGCAAATTATATCGTGCAACCGGCGCACCATGAGAATGGTGCGCCCAGTTGCAAAATGACGGAGTATTGAGGTCTGGTTTCTTGATTTTTTATCCTTTTGTTTTTAAAAAATGGTAATAACTTTTTTATTTTTGATCCGATTTTTATAAAATTTATATCAACATTTTTTATTTTTCACGATCTTTCAAATGAGACCAATATTGCTTATGTAATTTTAAGAAATTATCGAACTATTATATTAATGTGTATTGGATTATAAGGAAAACCAAACTAATTAAATTTAATACAGAAAAATAATTGTGTAAATCACAAATTATCTTAAAATTGTGTATATAAAAAATTTATTGTATTAGGTATTTATACATGTGAGTTACATATTTTTATATGTGAAGTTACATATTTTTACACGTAAAGTTACATATTTCTACACGCGAGTTACATATATATACACACGAGTTGCATTTGACTTGCCTGAACGCGAGTTACATATATTTACACGTAGAGTTACATATTTTTACACGTAAAGTTACATATTTATACACGCGAGTTACATATTTATACACACGAGTTGCATTTGACCTGTCTGAACGCGAGTTACATATTTTTTTAAGTAAAGTTACATATTTTTACACGTAGAGTTACATATTTATACACACGAGTTGCATTTGGTCTGACTGGACGTGAGTTACATATTTCTACACGCAAAATTACATATTTTACATAGGTTAAAATTACATAGGCAATATTGGTCTCATTTGAAAGATCATGAAAAATAAAAAATGTTGGTATAAATTTTATAAAAATTGGATCAAAAATAAAAAAGTTATTACCATTTTAAAAAAAAAGAGAAATAAAGAATAAAGATCCGGTGCTTGCCAAATACGCTGCTTGCCAAAAAACGTATGCCGGTATATGGTGCTCACCGTATACTGGTCATACGGTATAACAACTGACAATTGAAAGA